CAATAAAGGATGTCTAATATCATCAGTCACTAACTCCCAAGAAAATAACACAATGACACACTAATTCATCTCACTAAGACATCCATAATTTAAAAAAAAAAAAAAAATCAAGGAAAAAAAAACTGGGCAAAAACAGACAAAAAAAAAAAATCCTGCTATGCACTTAGAAAAATATTGGAACATTTTAATAAGGACAGTAGGAATGTAAAGTGTCTTCAAACACTTTGGAAACTGGTAAACTCAAAAGTTAAAACACAGTCACCGCATGAGCTATCAATCCTATCCTATGCACATACTCAAGGAAACTAAAAAATGCAAATCTACATAAAAATGTATACACAAGCTGGGCAGTGGTGGTGGACACTTTTAGTCCCAGCACTTACTTGGGAGGCAGAGGCAGGCGGCTGTCTTTGAGTTGGAGGCCAGCCTGGTATATTGACTGAGATCCAGGACTGGTTCCAAAGTCACAGAGAAACCAATCTTGAGGGGGGAAAAATTGTACAAACTCTCATAGTATCATTACTGTAATAGAAAAAAAGAAAATTGCTACATGTCCACCAAGTGATATAGGTACACACAAAATGTGAACTGTCCATAATATAATGTTGTTGAGCTATAAAAAGAATACAACTGTGGATGCCTGTTACAGGCTGGAAGAACCTTAAGAACACTATGCTACATGAAAAAGGTCAGACAGATATAAAGGGCCACAGAGTACACGATTTCATCTGTAAGAAACATATAACTAGACAACCACAGAAATATAAAGCAAAGTAGAAGCTGCCAGGAGCTAAGTCACAGGAGAGGTGGGATGACCGCCTATGAGCGAGGGCTTCTTTTATGGAAATGAAAATATTTTGGAATTAATGGTGACATGTGTACAACTTTGTGAATTAGAAAGCAGAAACTGTACATTTCAGAAAGCTGAATTTTGCTAGGCATGGTAGTATACACTAGCAAACCTAGTTCTCTAGAGACAGAGGCAGGAGGATTAGGACTTCAAGGCCAGTCTTGGTTACAGAGTAAGTCTGATACCAGCCTGGACTATATAGAAGGTCTTGTCTCAAAAAAATATTATTTTATTACATGTGAATTTTATATCAATTTAAAAAATGTCAGGGTTTAGACATGGGATACATTCCTATATCCAAGAGACAGGTAACAAAATGAAAACGAGCTAATGGTTTATAATGGAATTATGCCCCAAGCAATGCGCAACAATACAAAATAGTTTTTTAAAAAGGGGGTGGGGGAGTACTTGCAGACAAAGTAAAAGATAGTATATAGAGGAATGGTGTTAACTTGAAAGTGAACAGCCAAGTATGGTGGCACACAACTGTAATCACAGCACTTAGAAAATGGAAGCAAGAAAATCTGAAATTTAAGGTTAGCCTTGGCTATAAAGTAAACTTGAAACCAGCCTGGGTTACATGAGAACCTGTCTGAGAACAGAAACAATGGCTTTGGGGCTGGGTGTGGCCAAGTCACTCCTTTAATCCCAGACCTGTAAGTCAGAGGCAGGTGGATCTCTACCAGTTTGAGGACAGCCAAAATTCTAGAACAGTCAGTCATACATAGTGAACCCTGTCTCAAAACAAAACAAAAAAGACAGGGTCTCACTTTGTAGGCCAGACAGACTGGCTTCAACCTGAGATCCATTTGACCACCCCTGTCTCCCCGAGTACTAAGATTAAAGGCATGTACCAGCACAGCCAGCTAAATTCCACTTAACATTTTAAAATTCCTTGACAAACATATGTCCCCTCCCATTAATCATGGATTGCAGCTTAAATTGACAATTTGTTCTTTTCCATTTTGCTCCAATTTCTCAGGAATGCAATACCATTTCCACATAGATCAAAATGAATGCCACCTCCATGAAGCCCTCCTTCAGTCTAGAATACACCACTTGTCTGTACCATTATACTACACATTTGACTTGTGCAATAAACTGAGTGTGTGTGTGTGTGTGTGTGTGTGTGTATGTATGTATGTATTTCCTGTAAGAACTAAAAGTTCTAATCAGATCCAACATTTGTAAGCTAATTTAAATTAGAACAAAAACCCCAAAACAAAACAAAAAAAGCTAAAAGCTCCTCCTGAAATTTAGAGTGGTCACCTTAATTTTTGTCCACAAAGTCTGGTCTTTTTTTTAAAAAGACAGCTTAATAAATATTTAGGTGAATTAATCACTTAGTTGTACCTTCCATTCCTAGTAATAGCACTTAACTCCAGTTGCTAAGGGACTGGATAGGTACTCACTCAACAGCCCCCACCCCCCCCAAAAAAAAACATGAAATGATCAATTCTTTTGTTTGTTTTGGTTTTTTGAGAACAAAGTCTGTGTAGTTCGGCTGTTCTGGAGCTCCATCTGTAATCTAGGCTGGTCTCGAAATCACAGAGATCTGCCTGCCTCTGCCTCCCAAGAGTGTTGAGATGAAAGATGTGAGTAAACATCCGATCTAAATAATCAATTCTTACTATCAGAAAATTCAAGGCCATCCTGTGTAACTCACTAAGATTAAAAACTGGCATTATTGAATACTTCTAGAATTGCTGTTACCTGAGTTACCTGAAATACCTTTCAATGAGTCAAAGAGACTTATCCTGTCCTTTTTTAGCCTGACTACAACTAACTAGAATCATACCATTTCCCACACTAGGGCGAGCTTGAGAATAAGTAAGGTTAAGGATCAGACTAGCAATATGCAGCATCACATCAGAGACCAGACAGGCCTGAACCTGGATGGACCCCTCAACAGCCGCCAAAGTAAACAAACACCATGCCTGAAATAACTGTCTGAACCAGTATAGGCCCTGTTCTAATCCAAAGTGCTTAAATAGGTTTGGGTTTTGGAGTAGCTGGGATTTCAGGTTTTCAGATTACGGATGCACAGTCAGTAAAATCCTGGCAAACATTCCAAAATCGGAAAAACAAATATTTCAAACACTTTTCTGACCTCAAGTACTTTGAAGAGATACTCAATCTGTATTAACTAATTCAATTAAACTTATCACTGACTCTATATAATACTTGTCTTCCAGACACCACTGACATCTTACTCCCTCCATGCCAAAAACAGTAAAAAGGAAAATTAAATTCTGGAAATGACTGAAACTTTATTTTTTAACAAAGATTGCTATAAATTCAGTTTCACTTAAAAAGCAAACACCCCTAAAATTCTAAGACAATCAACCAAGAGAATCAGGTAGATCAACTGTGCAGAACCAATCCTACTAAAATAAGAGGAATTATTATATCTGACAGTAAACAGCACAGCTTCTTTGGACTATATATAGGGACACTGCCAGCCCTTTAAAATACAAACCTCCTAACACCACTTAAATGGCTCCCCTTAGAGAACAAATTTACATATAATAAAAGAGAAAATATGATGTCCAGCTGACTTTAGCTGAGCAACTAGCAATAACTATTAGTATTTAAAACGCCATCTGTACTATGGACTCCAGAGCTCTGAAACATCACCCAAAGAGTGGAAGTCTGGAGCTCAAGTAGCCTCTAAGAAAACCAATCACCGATACAAAACATTCTCCAAAGCACTGATCTCCAAAAGACTCAACTGAGATGTTTACAGGAGGATTTTATTAGGCACAAAACAAAACATTTTGTCCAGAAGCAGTAATCAACCACTAATGCAATTACTGATAAGAAAGGGTAGTTAATCGGAATGCAAGGATTTTAAAGTGAACAGCACAGGATAACTCATTGAAATGATTTAAACAAAAGCTGTATCAACACAAGAAATTTACACGGTTGCATTTTTCAATTCCATAATCTTTTAAACACCAAAAAGCCCTCCAGATCACAATCAACCACTATGGGTAAAACTAACACTACAAAACCAAAAATTCTTCTAAATAATTTCAGTCTTTTATATTAAACAAGAAGTCTGAAAATGCCTCAATTTGATGTTTCTCAAAACCTGCCACGAACACTTTTACATGACGATGACAAATAACATAATTCCTAAGTGCTTAAGCCCATGTCACATTGTAGCAAATGTGTGACAGGTCGTGAAAAATAAAACAAGCAGAAGCAGAACAGAGCAAATGATAGCTGGAGCCAAAAAGCCTGTTTCCTGGAGGACTTGGATTAGCAAGAGGGAAATTTTAACCTGTATTCACACGGTAAATCACACCCCTCAAAAAAACTGCTCACATCTTCATTAATTACCCAAATACACACATTTTTTAAAATATGCTTTTAACCTTTGGACAATCAAAGTGGTATCAGATACCTTACTGCATTGTTGCCTGCTAATTACGTTTGATGTCACAGTCTAAGTCCTTAATACATCCACAGTACCCATTTTCATAACGAAATACTGCAAAAATGGCAGTGCTTATTTTCTCTGAGTAAAGGTTACCTTATTTTTCACTTGTTTAAAGTTTTAGGTTTGCTTTTTCTTCATCTATTATAGAAAACATCCCTTGTGGGACATTGTAAAGGGCAGACCCTCCTGTCAAGCCAGAAGGCTCAAACACAAAGACTGAGCTAACCAAGTGCTGTAATTCTTCCAAATTGAGCCTCTCCGCACCCCCTCCACCCTTCCCCCCAACAGATATGTCTATTAAATCAGTGTCTGTTCTCCCCCTCGCACAACAAAGAGAACTTCTCACCGCATGAAATTGCCGCTGAATGGACACCAGAAAGCAGGATTTGCATAATTCCTTCCAACGAAACCCCGTCGGGAAGGAGGGGACCAGGGGCCCAAGCGGACGGACAGAATCTCCCAGGTTCTGCTGAGGAAGATCTGATTCCCAAGATCATGACCCACCGACACGGGGGGCTGGAATTCCGGGCCTCCCGGAGGACTGGGCGTGGGGGACAGAGGACGACGAGAGGGCATTTCCCCACACATCAGCAGCACCGAAGCAGAGACGGGGAAATAACAATGCTGGGGACATTCGCGTCAAACACAAGAATGGACAGGGGCTAGGGGGCGGCGGGTGGAGCAGGCACCACACGGGCCACTTACTTTTTGGAGGGGGGTTAAAGATATGAGTTAAGCCCTTGTGGTCCCGCCGGCCGCCGCACAGAGGGAAACGGGACCTTCGGAGAGAAGAACAGACAAAACACACAGTGTAAGAGGTGCAGCCCCGCCGCCCGGCCCCTCCCGGGCGCCCCCCGCCCAGGCTCCCGCCCCCTGGGGAAGTGCGCCGGCCGCCCGTGCTCAGCCGAGGGGACGAGGGCGACCCCCGCCCGCGCTCCCGCCCGCGCCTCCTCCCCGCCGCGCACACGCCAAACACAAATCCGCACACACCGACCCGTGCGTCGAGGACTAACTCCCCGGCCGCCGCTGCCAGCAGAGGAAGTGCAGCCGCTGCCCCCCGCGGCCATGACACCCCACTTGGCTCGCTCAGGCGGACGCGGGGCCTGTGACAGCTCCGGCTCCCTCCGCCCCCATCTCCACCTCACGCCTCGCACACGCCCGAGCGCCGCCGCGCGTGCCCGCGGGCCCGGGGGCGCGCCGCGCGCGTGGGGGAGGGGCGCGGGACGAGGGCAGGTGGGGGCGACCCCGCGCGTCCCGGCGGCGCTGGCGGCGGCGGCGGCTGCGGGCCCGGAGTCCACAATGCGCCGGCTGAGGCGAGGCCGCGCGGCCCAGGGGAGGGAGGGGAGGGGCGCCGCGGCCGCGCGCTCGCGCCCGGGGGGGGGGGGAGGGGGCCGAGCCCGGGAGGGCGCGCGGGGCCGGAGCGCGGCGGCCGCTGCCCTGTTCGCTCCCACGCACGGGCGGCCGTCGGCCGGGCGGCCCGGGCACGGGTGGAGAGCCTCACCTACACAGCGTTCGAGCTTGTGGCGCCACGAGTCCAGTTCTTGCCGAAAGCCGCGTCTCTCAACGGAGCATTGCTGCCGCCTACACACCCTCGCCATCTTCTGCCGCCCGCCCGGCCCTGCCTCCGCCGCGGCCCCGCGCACGCCCAGCCGCGTCGCCCGGGGCCGCGCACGCACCCGTGGCCTGGGCGTCGCGCCTCCCGCCGGGGGCGGCGCGGGGGCAAGGCCGCCCTCGCCTCCTGGTGGCCCCGCCGTGGCCCGGCTGGCCCGCTCCAGCTCCGCCCGCCCGGCGTCCCACGTCCCGGCAGCCCCGGAACGGCGCCTTCCCACGCCGGCGTCCCTTCCGTCCCCGCGCCGCCCTCGCTGGCTCTCCGGCAAGGCCACGGCTGCCCCGGCCCTCCCCGGGGCTTTGGGGTTTTAAACTCGTCCCATCTATCACCTCCAACCTGACTATCGCCCGACACCAACTGTTGCAAGTTCCGCACCACCGCCTCCTTGGAAACTGCCCCTCCCGGGAGCTCCGTGGAGAAGCAGAAATGGGAATAAATGCCCGGATGCCCCTGGAGGCACTGAGCCCCGAGATTTTCAAAGGTGAAGTGTGTGACTTGGTTGTAAGTTATCCGGATATTCGAAAGCCCGTTTTTTTTTTTTTTTTTTTAAGAAAAAGACGTGTATAAGTCCAATGAAAAACCTACGGGGTGTCTACTAGTGAAACTTAACATAGCTGAAACTTTCCAGATGGCTAAGAAAAAAAAAAATGTGGTAATAGAGAATAGATTTCAAACGACAGCTTCAGAATGTTAAGACAATACCCCCAGATCTGTAATTCAGGACTCAATCATTTCTCCTACGAGTTCCAGGTGCCTTCTGGGAAAATTAAACCACCTTGCTCGTGTAGCTGTATGTTCCGTTTAAATATAAAATTATTAGTTACTTGATTTATTTGAAAGAGAGGAACGAGCGAAAAAAAAAATAGGAAAAAGAAAAAAACGGAAACAACTCTGTACCAAAACGGCTAGCTCCCTAAGACTCTTCTCACCCTTAGGGTTTAAGGACAGTGCATCCTTTCTAAATATGAAATTTAAATATTTATTGCAGGTAAAACGAAGTCATCACTTGACCTCAAATCATCACCCCACTGATGTATATCAAGTCAAGGGTTATGGGTTTGTGGCTTGGGAGGTGGTGTCTCAGAGAACTGTTTGGGTGGGTCTCGGGTAGGAGTGAGATGTATGGGTAGTAGGCAGTTTGTTTCTCCGCCCCATCTTAAAGCCAATTAGATTTCCTCAGTTCTCAAAAGCCCACGCCGTTTCATTGCTTTAAAACTGTGCTGTCAGTCAGGCACGCTGGCATACACCTGTTAACACCAGCATTTTGGAAGGTTGAGAGTCGGAAGGATAGCAAATCCCAGGCCAGCAACGCGAGACCCTGTCTCAAAACAAAGACTACTGTGGAGTAAACAAGCTCTTGAGAATTCACTGAGTTTCTTCCGGCTTAATACTGCCCTGAGTTGGGAGGGGGAGAAGACGAAACAGAAATGGAAGTGATCACTCTGTCCCCTACCGCTAGCATGAAACTCCCTCCTTCACCACTAGATGGTGAGTTTCAATGCTGGAGACTTTTCAGCAACTTTCTGTGCTGGTTGGAGGAAGTGTTTCATAAAGGTTTTTTGTTGTTGCTGTTTTTAATACATGAACAATGTGTAATCCTAAAAGCAATTAATAGTGTTTTTCAAAACACCACCCATGTATTTTAAAACAAATCAATCAAGAGTAATAATTTCTCAACATAGTCTCTTAGAGCAGTGCCTTCTGCACTTACCTAATGCAGTGACACTTTAATACAGTCCCTCCCTCGTGCGGTGGTGACCGACAACCAGAACATTATTTTCTTTGCTACTTCATCACTAACGTTGCTACAGTTAGGAATCCCAAAGGGGCCAAGAACCACAGGTTAGACTCTCAAACATCCATATTCAGGGAATTTTAGGGGCTTCACAGATTAATTCTAAGTTGAAACAAGCATTCTTTCATTTCAGTTGGAAGACAAGTCAGGTTGCACTGCAAAAGGTTTGGGGTGGAGCGGGGTGGGGTGGGACAGCAAAAGCCAGGGAGTAAGTCCTTGATTCCCAAAGGAACTGCTACTTCCACTCCTCCACTTTGAGTCTTTATTTCTTCTTCATTTACTTTGAGAGCCAACATATACTTGACTGCTCACAATGCATTTTGAAAGAGAATATGTCAGGTTGTAATAATAATAGCTTATGCCAGGCAGTAGTTTTGAACGCCTTTAATCCCAGCACTTGGGAGGCAGTAGCAGGTAGATCTCTTTAAGTTTGAGGCCAGCCTGGTCTACAAAGAGAATTCCAGGACAGGGCTACACAAAAAACAAAACAAAAAAAAAAAACAAAAACAAAAAAAAAAAAAAAAACTGTCTTGAAAAAAAATCAAAATGATGATGATGATGATAATAATGGTTTATTTAGTACTATTTTGCTTCAGCAGAATAGTAATGTAAAGTAGGTATTATGTTACCACCCTTTCCATTACAGGGACTGCTATAATTTGTGAAATGCCCCCCTCAGCTGGTGGCACTGTTTGGGGATGTAGAAACTTTTGGACATGTTCCCTAGCAGGCAGATATAGGGCTGAGGCCTGTCTTGAGGGCTGTAATGTGGTCCAGCTTCTGCCCTGAATGAACTCGTTTCTTCTTGGTGTATGCCATGTACTCAGCTGCGGCAGCAGACCTCTGCCTTCACAGAGACACCACCACCACCATGTATTCCTTGCTGGGATGTACTGTATTAAATACCTCTCAAATTTCCTTAAATTGTTTGGTCACCCATCTTTGTCACAGCAATGAGAAAAACAATATAGAAGAACTGGAGAGATGGATCAGTGGTTAAGAACACTAGTTGGTCTTCCAGAGGTCCTGAGTTCAATTCCCAGCAACCACTTGGTGGCTCACAGTCATCTGAAAGGAAAGCTGGTACTCTCTTCTGGTCTGAAGGGTTACATGCAGACAGAGCACTGTATACATGATAAGTAAGTAAGTAAATCTTTATATAGAGAGAAAAATTGGAGCCGGGCGTTGATGGTGCATGCCTTTAGTCTTAGCACTCTGGAAGTAGAGGCAGGCAGATCTCTGTGAGTTCGAGACCAGCCTGGTCTGCAAGAGCTAGTTGCAGACAGCCTCCAAAGCCACAGAGAAACTTGTCCCGAAAAACAAACAAACAAACAAACAAAAATTGGAACCCTGAAGAGGGGCCACTGATGTGAGAACAACGTGGTTCTCAGGCTGTCAGAATTAGTTTGCAGGAAGAATGTGGAAAAGTTTGAAGCTTTGCACGGGAAAAGCCTAAAGAACTGTAAGAGGCCGTTCCAGTGGGAGTTGGGAAGTTCACAATGCTAAGGAAAGGTACAGTGTTTACTGTGCTCATGGGGTCTCAGAGGGAAATGAGTTCTTTTGGGAACTGGGCCAGAGGCTCTATGGGTTAAAGTCTGTCAAAGAATCTGGTGCATCTGCCTGTACCCTAAAAGTCTGACCCTCTGAAACTTAAAGTAATGGACTAATTTGTTTAAAGAAAATTTAAGATAGCATATAAATTAGTCTGTGGCATAGTTATTGTTCACTTCCAATAGCCAGGTTTATAGTGAGAATTCTAGATAGATGTGGGAAATGTGCGTTTTGATGAGGAAGGGGTTTTAAACAAACATTACAAATACAGTGGCTGCAAAGTGGAAATAATTGAATTTTAATTATACAATTAAGTAGGAACCTACCAGTCTGTCTAAGAACAATAAGAATGGTTCCTGGAAGATAACTTGCATCCATTGAAGTCTCCAGGATGCTTTGCCTCAGTAGTACCATCTAGGAAAACTTCTTCCCAAGTTCAAGCAGTCAAAAACACAGGGGCCACTCAGATGTGATCCAAAGGAGCCAGACTATATCTTGAGTGGGTCACAGAACTTAGCATTGTCCACAGGCATGTAGAATTCAAAAATTACAGATCTATAAACTGACAACATGGCTGGCCAGCCAGTCTGTGGTATGGTTAAAGGTAATAAAGTGTTTATTGTAGATGATGGGGGAGAGAGGGAAAGAGAAGGGAGAAAGGGGAAAGAGTGTTAGCCCATTTTTCCATAAGAAAGACCTTTCCCTTCTCCATGTCATTGCCTATTTGTTTACTTACTGATCTCAGCGTGGACTCATAGATTCCTATTTCTTCAATGGGTTAAAGTATGTTACTATGGTTCTTTATTTTCATACTTAAATTGTCCTAGATTTAGTCAGTGGGAGATCTTTTAAAGATGAATTCTGGATCCTTATGGTATATCCACATAATTTTTAAGCATTTCCTTACTTTCTAGCAAACTGCATAAGTTCACCTTATATTTTCCTTGCCTTAGCTCAAGAATAAGCAATTTTCCCACATAGCCCTAGAATAGACTGTAGAAGTTAGGATCTAAGCTCTCAGTGTCTTCACTGCTGCTAAAGTCTCATTGATTCCAGGCCCTCTCAGCTGTTGAAACTTTGAAATACATATGTACACAGGTACCGTGTGTGTGTGTGTGTGTGTTTCTACATCTGTCTAAGTATAATTAAAACCATGAGTTTAAATTAATGAAGTCCATCCCAGTCTTGTTCTGCATACTTGCAAAGCTTTCCCTGGTCCACATTTGTA